GCATAAGCACACCCCGTAATTTGAGCCAGAGCACGTGCCGCAAGTCGAGCCCGAACCCGCCATTGGTGGGGCAAAGGGCTCGTATAAATTAAACTTGGAGGAACCTGTTAGGTAGGTAACTTTATATTATATCTATGCTTTTGTGTTACAAAACGGAACTTTCTGCAGGTGATCGTAAAGCATGACTACAGATATTTTTGCGTTTTTTTCATTATAATGTATAAATCACCAGCTCAAACAATGGTTGTTTTTTGTGACTACCTTGTTGAGAAAGAAATAGTACATGAATGCAATGGAACGCTGTAAGATGCATTAAACCATTGACATAAATGAAATGTCTGTATCATAGACCTTGGTATCGACATTAGGGGTATGTCTACTAACTCTGATCGCGTGATCGGTTGGTAGTGTAAACTGATAACCTTCAATGTGTACAACTCTGATCGCGATATCAGTTTCATCTACTATATGTATATAATGTTTTTTGTCGCATCCGATCGCGCGATCTGAGTTAACTAAGACACACATGCCGTCTTTTTCCGATATTACCAACAATGTCTATAGGTAGTAAAAAAAAAAAGAAAAAAAAAAGGTAGTAATGCCTGCTGCAAATATTAAATATAATTATTGCTACAAATATCGAACACAAAGAAAAATTTCTTCGAGCTAACAGGACTCGAGCTGTAATGCCAACTTTTTTTTATTATCCAAGAGATTCTGCTTACAGATACCCCGGCTCTGCGGGGGCACAGCCGGTTATGTGGAATTAATAATAATAATAATAATAACGCACACACTCAACATAGCCCCGCACTAGGGAAACCCTGTGTCGCGGGTGCCATGGACACACACATAGACAACCACAAATTACACCCAAACTCACGAGAGAAATAAATGTAGGCCATACACATATTTCTCCCGTCCTGGGAATCGAACCCAGGACCTCTGCATGGCAGTCCGGCATGGTAACCGTTCGGCCACGGAGGCAGTTAAAATTGGGCTGAACCCTGAAGGTTAGCAGCCCGACCGCATTCTCCGCTGCAGGTGGAGGTACGTACGGGTACGTAATCGCTCGCCCGTGCCTCCACCATCGGCTGGCCGCGCACGGTGCAGTCCTTCCTCGCGAAGGGAGGGAGACAACGGTCCCCCGACTACAAATGTTAAACTTGCCAAACACCAGACGAGACTTCCATCTTGCAGCGGATCTGTTGGTAGGCTCCGCCGCAACATCCTACACGCATCAGGAGGACAAGGTGGGCGGCAACGACACACCAACACGTCTCTTCCTCCGCGGCCCCACCGCCACTACATCTGCACCCTAAGCGGTACAACTCCGCCAGGGTCGTGGAGGACAGGACGAGCGGCAACGACACACCGACACATTTCTTCCCCAGCGACCCTCCTTCCCGCGTGCGTCCGAGCGGACCAAGACGAGCCGGCGCGGTACGCTCTCGTCCTCGGGCCAGCCTAGCTTCATCGGCCGGGCCGTGGGTTCCTTTTAGCTTCGCCGTTGGATGAAATCGACCACGGCTGCTGGCGCGCCCCCCCCATGACAAGACGGGAACATTCGGGGGTTGGGCTGTAATGCCAATCTAGGGCAACCGCTCTACCAACTGAGGTGTAGATCGAGTCAGCAAACCTAAACGAATTTCTCTGTGATTTTATTAGAAATTTTTGCTTTAACGACTACTAAATATACAATTACTACTACTCTGTAGGCTTTACGACCCGAAATGGGTCTTGACATCAGATACGAGTTGGTTTCAGCGCACCCTATCTAGTGCGATCCCCCAATTCTCTGCGTGTTGGGAGCGCAGGCCTTTCTCCACTTCGTCCCTCCATCGGAATTTGGGTCGACCAACCGGTCGTCGACCACTAGGACGTCCTATATAGGCCATTCACCGCCCTTTAAGCTGGCATCGCTCCGAGGTATCCGAGCCAACGGAGTCTTGCGGACTTGGTTTCTTCGATGATATTGGGCTCCGACTTGATGTCCTCCAGCTCCTGGTTTTTTGGATCCCCGAGCTACCATCTTCCCTTTGCGTTGGTCCCAAAATATAATACTACCTGAATATAATCAATCAAATACTCTTTATTGCACACAATAACAAAGTCACTGAGAAACAAAAAGGTACAATAGACGGCCTTATAGATAGAAGGCAATCTCTTTCAGCTAGCCTTTGGTTACTGGATAAACCTAAAGATAATTATTACACAAGGGCGCAATAAACGCTCAATATCAACTTGATACCTATAATATTGCAATGACGTAAATAAAAAAAATGCTTAAGTAAATAAAAAAAAATCAAAATGCAATACATACATATATTTACATAAATTATAACCGGAATTATAATTACACACGTCAAAAGTACTTTTGTCACATGACAGTCATAAAAGTAATAGGAATTACAGAAAATTATGTATATAATATGATATTATAAAACTCTCCTATTCAAGCATAAAAAGTTTGTATTATTTCTTTCGAAGAGTCTTCCAACCTGAAAAGTTGTCATTTACAGATATGACCTATTTCACTAAGGGTGCGATATGTTTGTGTCTTATTGCGTCTATATATTATGTTGCTAATTACATGATAAAAATTACAAATTAAATTATGTGTAATCGATAAGGTTTGTTAACGATGCTTAAATTGATGTTATACTCGATTTACACGTAATCGATCAATAACGCGGTCGGTGAAAATCATTCAATAGATGTAAAGAGATTTCGAGGCGTGGAAGTAAACAGTACAATATGATATAGTAATTAAGGTGGGCCACAGTTATAGTCGTACAGTTTCAAAATTCATTATAGAAATCATTGTATCTTCTGTAGTTCAGTAGTCGGTGTATACATGTTCACGTGTATATGAATAGTGTAGACTTAGCATAATGAACTTTATGGTCAATTGTGTAACGTACAAACTAGATACGAGCCAAAATCTTCCGTGGAATTCTTGCGAATGCGCGAGCATTCTCGAGCATGCCCGAGAATTCCGCGGAAGATTTTGGTTCCATTCCGTCAGGCGTTAATGTAAATTGAGCCTTAATTTTCTTACAACATAAGAGGCGTATGTTACATGTAAGTAGTGATCGGATAATCGAGTGCTTATTTACCTAAACCTCACTTTTATCTACATGAAATAACAATATATAATGCCTTTCTGAATAAAAATATATAAATCAATTTAGTCAATTCGAGGATCGAGTAATTATTATTATTTAATAAATAATAACAATAAATTCGTTACCAGTTTCAAGATACTCACCATGTGTGATTTTTCTTAAACGGATTTTCAAAAGCCATAGAGATTTTAGTACGAAAAACTAAGTACTTGATTGTAGTCTATATGAAGGAGCTGTTTAGGAGACAACTCGATAGCGTAAACCTAAAAAAACATAACACACTTGCACTTCTGCCGGGACGGAAATACAATCCGAATATACAAAAAAAATGGAAGAGTCTACGGGTCGTATTCCTGAACTCTACTCAATGCTCAAGTCAGGTCTTGAGTATGATTTCAAGCACAGGAAATTGCTGGAAACTGGAAATGGCAAAGACTTGAGTATGATTTCTAGTGTTTTAAATTATACTCAAGTCCTGATTTGAGCATTAAGTAGAGTTCTAGAATACAATCCTTAATCACGTAAGTTTGGAAGTGTTTAAATGCTAATTTAAACTCTTCAAAACTTTTGTTATTTTGCCAGTGCACCGGAGACGCCATGTTCGAAAGAGAATGGTTTGATTTTTTGCATTTAAAACTGTACATTCATTTGTTTTCGATCACTTTTGCCCAAAAGTAGTGATACATCAAAGCGAATATGACGGCAATGATTTGATGCAGCTCTTAAAGCACATAAAGGCTACAACTGTGCAGTTTAGTCGGAACTGCCTCAGTGGCCGAACGGTTACCATGCCGGACTGCCACACAGAGGTCCCAGGTTCGATTCCCGGGCCGGGAGAAATGTTTGTATGGCTTACATTTATTTCTCTCGTGAGTTTGGGTGTAATTTGTGGTTGTCTACGTGTGTGTCCATGGCACCCGCGATACAGGGTTTCCCTAGTGCGGGGCTATGTTGAGTGTGTGCGTGTGTGTGCGTTAACTAATGGTTGTACAAAATAGTTATAGTTCCGGGTTAGAAGTTGCAGGACTTGTGCAGCTGTATTAGGCCTGCAGAACACACCCTAACGTTTATATCTATCACTTTAGGAAGTGCTCAAATGGGATCTAATGTCATTAAGCAGAAATGTTGTTGGTACCCAAGCGTCACAAATATCGTTTTTGTAACTTCGTAAGCACCTCTTGTGTCGAGCAGGCGTGTAGTTAACTCGGAGGTGATCTCTTGAAAATTTCATTATTATTCTTACTATCTACGGTAGAATGAGAATTTTTTGGAAGAGTTAAAAGGAGCCGAATGCCAAATCAATCATTTGTTCCGTTCTGTAATGCGTTGTTCCATTTGGTACCCATATTATGAAATGAAACGTTCCTTACCCTGTTTCGCATCAACGAGCGAAGAACTAATTATTCTTATGCACCAAAAAAAAAACATATTGACTGCTATAATTTTGGACTACAGTGCATGAAATGCTTGTAAAAATCTGTAATTGACATCATGTAGAGTTGTTAAAACATTCAAACACGCGTACTTTTAACTAACGTGTAGTTTCTCGAATTCCCATTTTGTAATTATTGCAAAACTATAAAAAGCCTTTAATTTAAATGAAATCACCGAACTAAACCAACGTTTTCTGTACAACGTTTCATGTTGACTTAAAAATAATACAGGAATGCAACAATGTATGTAATAACAAATAATAAGAAAAAAAACTATGAAACTATTTTGTATATTTGTATTGCGTACTTTCTTGTATGAAATTTACACAGCCTGTACAGTCCTGACAGTGTGGCTACAGCGTAGAGCAGCTCTATAGAAATCCAATGTCCGCACTCTCCCGGCTGTATGATCCATTCACTATAAATACAGGAGCTGGTGGTCTAAGTGCACATTGCTTCACAGACCACCGAGGCAGAGGGGCCTTTTAGACCTTAGTGACCTAAACCATATTTCATACGTTTTGTGAAAGTACTGGCAGGTTAGATATTCAGACACTTTTTTTCATCGCTTCATAACATTTAATTTTCTAAAGTGCTAATTGGTGTGTTTTCAGTTCGACTGAACGAAAATGACGACTTTCCGGACCGTACTTTTTTGCATAGGTGAGATTTTTTAGATCATCAATTTATTATTCACATATTTTATGAAGTTGAAGAAGAAGATAAGACTTTTTTACAATTTCTGTTTGCATAATTAATTCAATAACTTTTTTTGAAGGTGAACGTTTTATTTTCACGTAAAATCAGAGCATAATTCTTAAACTTAAGTAGTTTCGTTTCTATGACAATTATTAGTGTTGACGTTATGGTACATATATTGTGTCACAAGGGCGGTAAGTAGGCAATTACGAACAGGGGGATGTATTGGCCCGGACGTTTGTAATTGCATTTTCGCCCGTGTGGCATGTACTTTTTTGGACGTTGAGAAAAGGAAAATTACTTTTTATATTTTATTCATACAATATTTTAAAACTTAAGCGTCTCGCCAGTAAATCTTTACATAAAGCATAACATTTTATTGAGCATCATACTTTTACTTTATATTATATATGAATAAAACGTAATATACTTTAGGAATAAAAATTATAAATGAAATATAGCTTTTATAAATGAAATAAAAACATACACTACTACAATTTGGAGTCTGCGCGAATTTGGCGCCTAACCTACTTCGAGGCTCCCGCGGTACGAGCTTAGAGTAGAAACAAAACAAAAATCCCATTACAGCCCTAGGCAGTATGATAAAAATATTACCTAATTTTGCTGAACGTTATATTACTTCTTACGAGCACGTGTGATGAAAAATCATGTTACGTTCGCGAGAAATAACGTTTTTGGTTTTCCATGACAATTTCCGATGAACCGCTTAAAATTTATTATAATAGGAACCAACTTTGTTATTTTTGTATTTTTAGTAACATTAGATTATCCTGAAAAAAATATTCCATTTTGCTTGCTTAAAATAAATGAAATAATATAAAATAAGTACTGACACAACAACATCAAAAATTTCAACAGCCCTTAAACAATTCTTTCAAATATCAACGGTAACTATATTATTACCACATCAATCTCGTTGGAATAACAGATATTTCTGTAAAGTATAAATTACCAAGTAAGTACATCAATCAAAGGTAAAAAGTTCGTTTGGTAGACTCTTTATTTTTTTTTTATAATACCAAGTGACGGTAAGAACAAGTTGTGCGCCTGGTGGTAAGCGACACGCCTATTCATAGCAATTGCAGTATTTTTCGGAGCTTTAAATCGCAAAGATCTAAGAAGCACTACCATTGCGCTCGTCACCACGATAAATATACCACGTGAATGTAATTTCACCAGCACTTAAAACCCGGAACGCAGTAATGCTTCCATTGCCGGCTGTTGGCTTGGCGGCAGAAATAGATAATATCTGGACGAACTCTTCACAAAGAGCTCTGATATTATATATCTAGGATTGGGCATTTAAACGAAAAGCACTATGAAAAGTTTGCTTTTTAAAATAAACATTTAAGCACGCTTTTCAATTTAAGCGTTAGCGTTGGTCAGTTCAATATTCAACATTTTCATAATTTATAACGTGCCTATATTTCAAGTCCCGCCATCTATGTTTCCTAAATAAATGAATTCGTCAAAAAATTCCTAAATAAATGAATTCGTCAATTCTTTAAAGTAATACGTTTACAAATAGAAATAGTACTCGTGTTTTACAAATAAACTCACTTATCTTAAAACTTCTTCCTTTTGGCTATCAACATAACGTTACAAGTTTTTCAACACAAAAATCTATGCGCTTAAACATTTTTCTAAACTATTTTGTAAGCTTCAAACTAAAAAGAGTTTAGTTGAGAAGCCTTTTTATAAGCACGCTTTTTTTTAAAAGTACAACTCTCACCATCTCATCAAGTATAAAAAAGTACAGATCTCAGATACCATATCCGAGACAATCTATATAATAAATAATTAATACTCATTCAATTGTAGTTTCAATTATTGGTTTATGGTAGAACTTTTTTATACCATACAGTTTATTCGTAAGGATAAATGGGTAATCGTTTATTCTAGATATCACTAGTCTACAACATTACAGGACGCTTTATGGCATTTTGTTCCAAGTTGAAAACAGAACGTTGGTAGATATGTAGGTACATTGAAGAGTTTTTTAAAATGAATTCTAGTAGGTAATAAAATATAATATCTAGTGTCGGTAGACTAAAGCCTTAACTACAGCACGTAAGTCAAAAGCCATTCATTTAAAATAATACATCTACCGACTAAAAAACACAAGTCAAATTAATTTGTTTGTTACTTCATTAATTTGCAACTTAGATTCTAGGGGCGTCTTTTTAAATTTATCTTTCTCTTCACATCTTCCAATATGATAAACAATACAAAAATATTTAATTATATTTTTTTTAAATTAAGCGCTTTTTTTACTTATGTGCTTTAGTCCGCCGACTCTTGACAGGTAGGTAACGCGTAACATGGAAGACCTCGCAATAAATTATTAAATTAGTCTAGCTTTTTTTCAATACACAGTTGTGTGCTCTCGCGTAGTTTCTATACATAGTAATTTCATACATAAAACTTTCTACATTAATTACTATTACAGGAAAACTACGACAAAGAGAACAGAATCGGCTTAAAAAGTAAAGTTAAATTAATGTCAAAGTAATTCTATTTTCAACACCAGCAACTGGTAATATTTACTTTATTAAACCGTTAGTAAACACATTTCACATATCACAGTAGGTATTAAGCGATGGATTGAAATTAACTTATTGAAGTATGAAGTATTTATTAAAACGTAAGAACTGACAACATTATTCCGAGGCGGATGCCCTCTCAACACGCAATGCATATCCATGTCTCAAGTTTCCGCAAACGCATGAATTAACATTAGATAACAAGTTTCCATTAACAAATTTAGTGCAACGTTTAGGTAATTATTGCGTTAGATAATGGTGTTAGCTTATACTGTTAATTTCATACGTAAACTCCTATATTGCGTAGAGGAAGTGGCGTGAATGGCCGCGAGGTAACAAATGGAAAGACTCGCCAAATATTCAAAATATGTAACATTAACAACTAACAATTACCTTTACTTAAGCTTATTATTTCAACATGTACCTGCACATCAATGGTTTTATTTTATATACCTTATTACAGGCACACTAGCTCTAGCGAGCGCCGCTCCAACACCAGCTGCAAGGGCGAGCTCACCGCAACATTCTGAATACGAATATGATTATGAGGGCGCAGCTCAACAATCGAATCAAGCACAAGAGCCACTTGAATCCGCTAGCCATTATGACGCTTACATCCATGATGTACAAAGCGCGGCTAGCGGAGGCGACTCTAAGAAAGGTTACAGTAGAGGCAGTGGTTTGAGAACCATTGCAGTGGGCTCCGCAAATCAAGCTAAGACAGCGCTTGGAAACCAGGCCGCTGCAGCGTACCAAGCTGCTTATGTGGCAAAGAATACCTTAGCGCAATCGGCAGCTCAAGCCAGTGCCACAGCTCAGGCTGCGCTAGCTGGCAAGCAAGTTATCCTTTCCGGATTGGAGCAGCAAGTTAGAGATGCGAAAGTCGCACTGCAGGGAGAAGAGATGCAGTTGCAACAGGCTAAGAGATCTGCCCAGGCAGCAGCGCAGGCGGCCCAGCAAGCTATGCATCAGGTGCGTTATATTCAAATCCAATAGCTCTATTTTAAAGCTTCATACAATTCCAAACGTAAATTTATTACTACTACTAACTCAGCTCTGGCGAATCGGTTCTATAGAGACTAATGAGTTATATAGAAAGGTATAGTATATAACTTCATTACTGCTTTGCGGCGACTATTGATATCTTATAATTATTTTCGAAAATTGTACATTTCCATTGAAGGTTGAATTCGCTATGCAATATGGCAATGAACCACGGAGCTGATAAGCTCAATATTAACGTCAGAAATATAGTTTCAATTTTTTATAACTTCAATTTCAGTTCAACGACGTTAAAAAAGTCTTTAAAAACACTGTTACTCCGAGGTAGATTAAAAAAAAACTGTAAGTAAAGTTGGTGACAATGTCCATTGCGTAAAATAGCCAACCGGTCTAAATGAGATCGGCGAAAATTCACAAAACAAATAAAACGGTACTGGTAAGATACCGTGAGCTAGATAATTATATTTTACGTAAGTGTCGCTACCGCTGCTCTTATAATTTCCAATAGCTCTAGACTTAGTTTTTTAAAATAAAATTGATCGCGTTTTGTATTTTCTTGGCTTTTTTCTAATAAATTGCAAGTGCCTACCTAAGTTATATGGGTAACCGTACCATGCGCAAGAGAACGAAATGAATTTATTATTATATATTATGTGAATCGAACAACTAAATAACAGGTCGTGGCACATAGGTATACACTTATGTACAACGTGAATAGTTGCGTGCGAATAGCTTTACTACTATGTTCAGGGTATTTAATAGTTGACGGCGAACCTATGCTTCTATGGAAAACCACCTGTAAAAACCTCGAAATTGGTACTTACTTGAAACTTTTCTAACATCCCGTGTAGGTTCCCATAAAATAAAAAATCTTTTTTTGTTGTGTTATGTATCAATATCATAATATTAAATATGTAAAGGTACCTTACCTACCTACCTACTTATCTAAATAGACCTAAATTTAAATCAAAGTTGCTAAAAAACCGCTACGACGTGACAAACGATTTATAACGCAGTTCCATAAGTAATAGTTACAGTTTCTGATTTAGTAAAGTAATCGATTTGCACCACTCAATGGTATGTAGTAACTTGACTACAAATGATTTGAAAACGCTACAGTCGGCCGTATATTGCGAAATTATCTTGGGAAAGATAATAACAAATGGGCTTTAATATAGATTACGATTGTTTGAAACGAAGAAAACACAATTCATATTTGTACTTAAATTTAATAAATAATATTTACGATATTAGCTACAGGTTATATATACATTACTGCCACTGAATCGTTGGGTACAAAGGAGACATCAAAGTATCTAAGTATTAAGAATAGGTACGCATACATAATTAACTATTGTTTTAAAGTATTTTTCCGTCTGCAAAAATACCTTTCAGTTAATCAAATCGTGCGCATGTTTAGTGCTTTTACTTAATTACTTCACCGTTAATTAATGAAACGCCTACCGTTTCAAAATTATGAAACTTGACATTCAAGGTTGAGTTACAATTTAATGCTTTGTTACTTGTTAATCGATTGACATAATTCGCTACTTTTGGTAGGTTTTAAATTTTGAATGTTTTTTTCACAATTAATTTTAAAATTTTCGTAATCATTTTACGACAAAACAATATTTTCGATACTGTCAACGGCGTCAGTCGTGAGAAAACATAAGGATAGGCAACTTTTTTTACTAAACTGGCAGTAACAAGAAGGTGCAGTCATATTTTGGGATATACATGTGGCAGTGATAAAGCGTTTTTACTTTTCGCGTATTCTGTGCGATAGCGGCGGCAAATTGTTAAAATGACATAAAAAATTATTACCAAATTAAAATTTTATTTCAGGCTTAAGTTCGTCACTTTCATAAACATTTAACGTATCTCAAAATACAACTAAAATATCCTTTATACGCCGTACTCTTGTATGGTCATATGTTAAAAGTATTTTTATCACTTGAAAGTCATAAAAATAATAGGAACTAAATAAATAAAATTATGCTATGTGAAATTTTATAACTCTGCAATTTAATAATCTCCTATTATAACTACTTTGTTCGTAAAAACTTCAAACCTCTCTCCTGAAAAGTTATCATTTCGTAGTCAAATGGTAAAACGGAACCCTTTGGTTTCTAAAGGTAGGATTGAGTACATTCCAAGTAAACGTCAATGACACGTAATTCAGACAATTTTAGTGTCCTACTTAGAATAACAGTCAAAGTAGAACACAAAAACGACCACTGGAAATCAGTTCAATTTTCTTCGTTGAAAAAGTAACACAAACTATACTGTTACGATGTTACATCACGGCTGCCTGCGCTAGGAACAATTGAAAATAGCTTTGTTTATTGGCCTACGTATGTCGGTACACCTACGGCAATGCCAAAGCTAATGTACGTGCATCATGCATTAAGTTTGTTTATTCGTCTAAAAGTTACCTATGTTAACTTTTAAAGTACCTACTGAAGACGGTTTACAACGAATTAGGTAAGTATTGTTTAATGAGTTAAGACTCATTAAACTATACCTACCTAATTCGTTGTGAAATCATATAAGTATGTGAAAGATGCCTTGCGAGACTATTAATGAATGTTTTTTTTAACTTGAAATATGCATGTGTATGTACTTGCCTTTATTGCAAAGCGAGTTCTGTTTCTGAAGCGACACAGAAATACCAATAAATTGGTAACTTGACATTAGCTAAGTGGATAATCCTAAAATGAAAGCAAAATTACGTAAATAAACACTCGGTTCGACTCGACTGCACTTTTAGCTGCGTATTATCAATTGCCCACGTTATGAATCGCTAGCGATGGTAGTGTTGAGAGTAACTCGTTCATTTATTAAGATGTTTTTTTGTTAACAGGTCAACGTGATCCAAGCGGCGCTGAATGCTGCACAGGCTACGTCGGAAAACGCAAACGAGGCCGCGTCACAGGCGGCGGGTGAGTTGGGAGCACAAACCGCTATGGTCGGCGCTGCTCGCCAGAGGCTACACACTCTTCAAGAACAGCTTCACGGTGTTAGGATCGACTTCGAAGCCACTCAGACTGCCGCTAGAAAGGCTCAGGTACGGAGTTTAGAAGTGTGATTGAGGTACTCTACGATACCTCTTCAATCACTCGACCGATAATTCAATCGATAGCCACGAATCTACCCTTCGAAAGTCACGTCCAAACAACTAAAACCATGTCTTTTCTACTTCATAATAGTATGATTGATGCCCCGTTCGCCGACAAAGATTCCCTATTTGCCTGTACCTTTCAACTTCAACATTTCGTTCATACTAAACGTGTGCTTTATATGGGGTTATAGTCAGCAGATTTATGCTTAAGGCATGCTGCTTATAATGTACTAACAAGTGGGACCCAGCCCTTAACTTATGAGCTAGGTAGCATTATTTACTTAATGTATCTAGGCACCCACATACGTACCACAGATTCGCTAGGGTCTCATTGAGAAGCGTGATCAAACTATTTAATCCTCCCACTGTTGGGTATGGGTCTCCTCCCAGGGCAAGGTTTAGTAGTCAGCCACCCTAGCTCAATGCGGGTTGGGGACTTCACACGTTTTCCGAGGGTTGTTAACCCTCTTCGCCATGCAGGTTTCATCACGATATTTTTCATCGTTCATAGTAAATGTCAAATTACATTTCGCCTATAATTTCCGAGAAACTCAGAGGTACGAGCCCGGATTCGAACCCAGGGCCTCTGCTTGAGAGGTGGTATGTTAATAATAATAATAACGCACACACCCAACATAGCCCCGCACTAGGGAAACCCTGTGTCGCGGGTGCCATGGACTCACACATAGACAACCACAAATTACACCCAAACTCACGAGAGAATTAAACGTAGGCCATACAAATATTTCTCCCGACCCGGGAATCGAACCTGGAGCCTCAGCGTGGCAGTACGGCATGGCAGTCGTTCGGATACGGAGGCAGTGTGTCAAACCATACGGTTTTTTTATTACGGCATTGAGAATATAAGATCACAAAAAGACCACGTGGGATCAAAATATTTCTTATTCGCGCAGGCGGCCGCACAACAGGCGCAAGCGAATGCAGCGGCGGCGGCGGCCAAAGCCGCGGCAGCGGGTCTCGGCGGTAACCAGCATCACGATACCTCGCATGAAGGTACGAGCGTTGAGGAGTACAAGGCAGCGCCCGTGCAGGCACCTGAAAACAACCAACAGGATTACTACTCGCATCAGTCGAACTATCAACACTAGTAGCAAATATGTAGGTCTTAGGTTAGCCCTCTGAGGTTTCTACACGAACAACCAGCGACATCAAGTAAAGTAATTATATACTTTTAAAGTATGTAATTACTTTGCTGGAGAGGAGAGTAGATGATTTTATGTATAAAGAAACCTCAGGGTCCATTAATGTTACCGTTGGAATAGGACACAGCAATAATTTATTTCGCAGTTGTTTGTTTTTTTTATTTATATTTGCTTCTTAATATGTTTTCTCCACCTCCTGTTCCAATCGTATAACACTAGGTTATCTAGCAAAAAAATGTTTCCATCATTTGTAAATAGGAAAAATCGTATCTAATCTAAATAGTCGATTGTTTTCAGATTCGAGTTTTTTGAGTTGATTTTAATGTGATTTTGTACATTTTTATACTATTTTTATAAAAATCTATATAGTATTATATATATACTTAGTGCTGTGGTTTCGCAGTAACTTCCAGTTTTGTTTTGTTTTGACAATAATGTAATAAAATAGAGGACATAAGTACAACTACAAAGGGAAAGAAAAAGTCATACCGCTAGTATACTAACCCATATTAAGTGCGATGTCTCAAGGAAGCCAATAGTGCTGATGATGTTCATCGGCAAGAACCGCAAACAGGAGTGTTATTTAAAAATAAAATCTATGTTGTTATATTTATGTTATTTCAATAGATTTGACTTGACAATGTGACATATACACATGACTCTTTCTTTATTTGACTGTATCTTTTCTGACTTGCCATCGACATCTCACTTAATTTACTTAACGACACAAAACTTAACGACTTGACTAACCCTAACTTTTGGTTGTAAGTTACCAAATTACCTAGCAATACTCTAATGTTCAGTACCGTAGACGATGGTATAATGGATGATAGTATCCGTAATAGTTTGCTTATATTAAAATTGATTTTGATTTGGGATTCAGGGATTCAGGATTTGAGTATGGTTTAAAGCACTCGAAATCTTTCTCAAGTCCCTGCCATTAGGGTCGTATTTCCAGTGTTTGAAATCATACTCAGATCCTGACTTGAGCATTGAGTAGAGTTCTGGAATACGGAACTTAGTACGTAAACGTAACTGTATTGCATAGACGAAACATTAAAGCATGAAACAAACATAGAGGGTGCAGGGTGGTCGGGTCCGCGGGCAACGTCTAATTCCGTGTATTTTATAGACGACAACACACCGAGCGCGTGCACCTGTGTGTTTCACGCTTAACTTTTAGGGCGTCTTCAAACTACACGCTTGTAAGAAGCGCTGCAGTGGCGCGTCTGTGGTCACTACTAATTTTCATACAATATCTAGTCTTCAAAAGCGGCGCGCGCGTGACGCGACTGTGGTGCTGCATCTGCGGTTCTAAATATTGTATGAAACTTAGCAGTGCTCAGCTTCTTTGAGCGTCAAATTTGAAGGCGCCCTTATATTGAATTAATAACGCTTACGTTATAAACATTGATTTAAAAAAACACCGCTACTAGAGAGCACTATGAATCATACATAAGGCATTCAAGTAATAATGTAATCTACCATATTCATCTCAAAATGCAACAACATTTATCATGCTTTGACCGTAACAAATAATCGACGCACATGGCGTCTTCTCGCGAAACGACGAATCTATATGATTCGTAAAGCGAGTTGTTTACCTTCTTTCAGAGTCCGGTTCCGCTCAGCATCACCCACAGACCAGCGCACAGAGAACCCTACCCAATCCAAAACATCAAGACATTCTCATCAAGCCATTCCATAACGCACCAAAACCATTAGCATTCAACCTGTCGTCACGTTTAAAATCACTTCACAAGCCGAATAACTCCGTCGAGTTACAAATCCAACCTATCCATACACATGTCCAACAAAGTAATAACGTACTAGCCCATGTTAAGCCTATTAAGCTAGTCGCAATAGATTCATTTGAAAAAGCATACCCAGATAGTCATATTGATTTTAAAGGGTTTCGGCGGTAATGTATTCAATTAGAGGTAGGTATTCTGCTTTTTGTAATGACCAACTGGCTTTGAATTTTTTCATAAATATGATGGAGTAATCGTGTGGTCAACAGAAGCCGTAGAGGAAAAGCCGCGCCACGAGCAGGATGTGGAAGAAGAAGAAGAGGACTGCGAGGAGTAATTTTCACTTCCTAGCTGCCTAGGTTCATTATTTGCCATCGTTTTGTAATTTGTAAGCTTTTAGAAATAAAGGTTAATGTTTAAATCTACTACCGTGCCATTATTAACCGGCTTCAAAAAAGGAGGAGGTTTTCGATCGACAATTTTTTTAGGGTTATGTATTTTACAACATTTGTAAAATGATTGCGATGATTTTTTTTTGTAAAAAGGGGATATCCCACTAATGCTCCCATTCAAATTTGAAGAAAATATTCCACCTCTAAGAGAGGCAAATTAGGGGATGAGTCCGGTTTATTGGATCATCCAATCATCCATTTTCCGTTAACAGATTTCAATAAAACTTGGCAAATAGACGTGATTTCAAATACTTTTGAGGACGGTTTTCTTTAATAAAAAAGGTATATTATATATATTTTATTTTAATAATACTTAAATACTTTTAATAAAATCTTAATAAGACAAGAAATATAATTTAGATAGAAGGAAATTGTACGTACCTACTGTAATGAATTCAGTGCTGTTTCAGTGCTGGATTTTTTAGATTTAAGTTTTTTTTCTATAATATCAAGCGACGACGGGACGAACAAGTCGTGCATCTGATGGTAAGCTACACGCCTGTCCATAACACTTGCAGTGCCACTCAGAGCTTCAAATTGCAAAGATCTAAGGGGCACTGCCACTGCGCCCGTCACCCTGAGACATAAGTTGACAAGTTCCATGTGCCTGTAATTTCACCAAAAAGTAGTTTATGTTCAGCTGTGGACGTCTTCTGACTGATATGATGATGATGATGAAGTAGTTTAGAATCTAGCTACCTTTGGTTCCACAAAGAAACCGCCTGACAGTTTTCGATGCGACAGTTACCCCAGCATTGTCACTCAGCAATTACCTACTTCACTCCTATGAAAAAACGACCGTATTTAGTATCATTACGTTACCTTGATAGATATAGAGTTATGAGAAAGGATGACGAGTAAGTAAGGTGAAAGCGTCACCGGTGGTTGTGCCGTTTCGAAGGAAAATTATAATTCTGATACTGAAAATGTTAGTCGTTTTATTAATTTAACAAAAACAAAATCACATTTTAGTCCATATTTTCTTGTGCAATACCTATACCAAATATCTAACAAATGCTCATACTGTGTTTTGATTCTTGCCGCTACAGTACATTTATTTCTGTATTGTGCACATAAATATTCGAAGTTAAAAATAGTAAGGGGTATAAAATATGTAATATTTATATTTACCCCCTCCGTGGCCGAACGGTTACCATGCCGGATTGCCACGCAGAGGTCCCAGGTTCGATTCCCGGGCCGGGAGAAATATTTGTATAGCCTACATTTATTTCTCTCGTGAGTTTTGATGTAACTTGTGGTTGTCTATGTGTGTGTCCATGGCTCCCGCGATACAGGATTTCCCTAGTGCGGGGCTATGTTGAGTGTGTGCGTTATTATTATTATTTATTGTAACAGAGTAACTTTACTTATGACCTTAATAGTCAAATTATTAACACAATGATTGAACACTGAGAAAAAATTCCTTCGATCCGGCCGGATTCGAACCGACGTCTTCTAGCATACCGTGCCAAACGTACTAACATACATACGTACTAGCATACGTACTAAGCCATGGAACGAACCAGCGAACCTCACGAATTTTTCTATGAGCTTGTTGTCGTGTCTTTGTATCTGGTTTTTCAATGACTTTTTAGCCGTAGCGTCATCCGTGAGAAATATATGAAAGTATTTCGTCACTAAGTACCACTAGATACCTTTACAGCTACCGCCCCGGTTAGAAATGTCGCCATTCACAGTATTTAAAATAGAAAAATTCCTGAGGTCCGCTGGTTCGTTCCGTGGCTTAGTAAGTATAGCGTCTGACACGGTATACTAGAAGACGTCGGGTCGGAGGATTTTTTTTGTGTTCGATCTTTGTATTAATAATTATAACAAACTGGTAGAGTAACTTCAGATAAAAAATAATTGAATATCAATCCAATAAATTTAAATAAATAGTCCAAGTAAGTATGGGGTATAAAATGTGTAATATAGGAGCTACAGTCATTTTTGTGACATCAATAATATTCGTTGAATGGTATCCTACATACTATTACTTTTTTTAACATTAAAAGAAAAATTATTTAAGGGAAACCTTGATTTGAAAATTTAATTAGTTAATGGGAACTCTTGTAAATATTTGTTTAAAGCACTTAAGTACTACGTTTCGCTCCGGGGTCAGCCGAGTTAGATTTACTTAAAGGAAACAATCTTTTTTTTTTAAAGGCGTTGTGCTTTGTCGGGAATTCGATCCCGGGAAAGCAGCTAAGAATGCAAACAAAACTAACTATTTCATTGTACTTTTTAATAGAAAGATCAATGATAAGAACAAAATGTCTCCAATAAACATTGAATCTTACAATTAAACTTTACCACGAAGTTTAATTTTGTTAAGTCTACTCGCGCTTAACTCGGCCAAGTACTCGCTACATTTCTACGGTTTCTGACCGAGCTGCCATAGTATGTTTAAATTGTATGAACACTATTTAAATTAGCATCGGGATAGGCAGCGACCACCGCCTTCCACTAGCTACGGTCCTAATATATATCTTTCGTCTTTGAGTTTCTTAATAATTTGTTACTTCTTTATGCTGATGGTTCTATAGCCAATGCTCAACAAATAAATAAATTAATCTGCCCCGTACTACGAGACGCGTTTCATTGTTTCATTATTAGCGCTATTTGATCAATTATTGAGTGAAAAAGATATAGATTTAGAGCCACCAGCTTAAACAAGCAACAAACAAGAAACTCAAAACGTAATAATAATTAAACTAAAAATAATTTGTCAAAAAACTGTAACTACAAAAACCCGCCATTTATTTGATATATCAGTACGGGGCAGAATTTGTTGTAGTTTTAAGCTGATGATTGCCTCGTAGTCAATGCTCAATAAATAAAAACAAAGGTACGGGGGAGATGCGAATTTGTTTTGAAAGTTTCTGCGCGTGGGTAGACGGTGCGCATCGCATTCACCGCCTACAACGCCTCGCTGTTCTACGCAAGCGTAATAGGGGTCTTATGACGGGGGAAGCGTAATAGGGGTCTTATGACGGGGGAAAGAGATTAACTGAAAAGTGAAGTTTGCCTTTGGATCAATACTACAATGAAAAGGAAGGCTTAGGTTCTCATCTCTTTCACCTTACGTATGCGATTTGGTGCTTCTAAGCCGAATAGTTCTCGTTTTAGTGGTATTGATTGCTTGCCAAAAACGGCGAGCTTCTTCATGTTATCTGGGAGTGTAGCACGGCTTTCAAATGCAGGGCAGTTTCAAGATCCAGCTCATAAACATGGGGACGCGGGCAGCGGCCTGTAAGCATTTTTAAAGTTTATGTAACTGCTTTAGTTCTATGAACATTTAATATTATAAGCCGCCGATGCTTGCATGCACATTAACGCGTTTATTTTTCAGAGGTATCTAAAAGGGGAAGCTTCATTGCATAGTCAAAGCTTTTTATGTATCCCCTAATGCAGCTGCTGCCGTGCGATAACATGCAGCTTCTGTTGGAGCCACTGAACCAGAAAGGTGAGCTCGTGTGACACGGGCATCCAACTTACTGTTGCACCGACTGTGGCACGGCTCTGCAATCTCCCTGCCGGCACGATTTCTGCTTTTCCAAACTCTGAATAGACTTTAAGTCTTTTCATTATTTGTGTCCCATATCTGCTAACCAATACCTGCAGAGGCTGAATCTAATTCAATGCTGATAGAAATTACTTGCCATTAATAATTTCAAATTATTGAAGAGGATGTTGGCCAGCAGGCAAGCAGATCCTTCATGTTAGGTCAATTTATGTCTGTCATCTTATAGTGTATCTATGTCTCCAGTTTGTCCTGTCAGTCCTATAAGGGCAAGTTGCACGATATTCCTTATGTGTTGAATCTAATTGTAATACAACCCGCCCTTACACCTTGTCATGATTTGTGTAGCATTCTTATTATGTGTCTGTTCTTCATAGATGCCAGTTGTGTCTGTGGTTCCTTGTTGTCATCATGTTTGTTGTGTGGCTCACTGCTCTTCCAGGTTGTACTGATCATTAAGCTATAGCAGAGTGTTCCTTCCCATTCCTGCTTCCAACTTTATTTAGAAATTCAAAGGTGCTCAAAGTGTTGACTGGCTCTCCCTGTTTGTCATGATGTTTGAGATTTCCGGTGTTATTTTAGGTCCTGTAATAGAAAATATTTGTTGTTAACTAGTTAAATGGAAGTATTAATTTTTTTTATTTATAATGAAAACTTTTACATATTATGAGTTTTGTTCAGCAATTGCACCACTGCAAAATTTTTAATCACATTATATGTTTGGTGTAATTGATGTTTAGTTGTTATAAATTTAGTGACTTGTTTATGGACAGTAACTTAACCCGTGTGTTTGCAGTTACGGCCAAGATCCGCAGCCTGTACGACTGCCAGCTGCGTTTGATGCACAACATTCAACCACTACCTTCAGGAATTGACATAGCTAACACAGTTAAATACTTCTCACAAACTTTGCTAAGTGAGTGTAACAAGGTGTAGTGGTATTAGTAGATATTAAGATTAGTTTTGTAGCCTAGTGACACATTTTAATCATGATTTAGAATAATTTTATTCATAATTAAAATAATAAAATAAACTTATAGTACCTAATGATCTGCAAAAACCGTACAACAAAAAAAAAATATTATCACAAAAATTTATACAGTAATTTTAGAAATGAAAATAATTAGGTAACACTGTTTTTTCTCCTTATTATATGTTCGAGCATCTTATTTCGGTACTGCTCTTTGAAGTCCAGTAAAGTAAAGGAAATGCGCGCTAATTTTATAAAAAGATCGCAGCTCGCTTTTTGCACATAAAAATACAGACTGCCGAAATTCAGCCGCCTGTGATGACCTACAATTCACTAGAACTGCGCCAGGGCGAATTTCCTAGTTTTGAGTCACGGCTATAGACCATACCTATACGTAATTAAACATGAGTCGTGCATGCCCCACACTATTCGTGATTCCTCATATGAAAATGAATGACAAATGCAGTTAAACTAAATGGCACAACATGTATCTAATAAACTTAAATACGCATCTGTACAAATTATACAAAAAATAGACTACGGTTGAGTATGGTAGATTAGCACGTCGGTATCGGGGCTAGCAAATCACAAGCAAAAAATTTCGTGAACCCGCTACGCGGCTCATTTTCGCTGATACACAGCACGATATATAATGCGACGTCGACGAGTCTCCTAATCTCCGTATAAATATCCGTAATAAAAATCCGTAGCTCCGTGCTACTTGGATTACTTAATCCATGTACCACTTCAGGTTTTTTTTGTCTTTGGTATTTAAAACTATTGTCTCAAATGATAAATGTGGACACTCAATTTGTAAAGATCAATGCCGAGAGTTTCGTTATTTCAAATGTTGCTCACCTATGAAAAGAGTTTTCTAATTTAAATTTCAATTGTTGTAGTTGAGATCCACTTCCCATGAGCTGGACCATTAAACTGTTGTTTTTTATCTAGGTATGATTAAAGCTTATTTTAAATAAATTATAGGTGTCCTGAAGGATGTACCGCGTTCTCCTTTAGAAATGCTACGTGACGCCGACAATGATGTGGACCGAATGACTTTATACCCAAACTTAGACTACAAAGGGTTATTTAATGCCATATCGCAATTGGTCGACTCAGCATCTCATTTGCAATATGGGATACAGGGTAAGATAATATTTTATATGCAGCTACAGCACACAGCAATGCTAGTGGTGCCACGTCGACGCGACGTGGAGACGGTCATTGGTATCTGACGTTTTCTCTGCTCTACTTTAGTATAAAAGTCAACATGGTATGATAGTTGAAAACTGTGTTTACTTTCTATAAATTAGGCGATACACTGGCTAGCTCTTCTAAAGGATACATTGCAGTTGGCCGCTGATAGCCACCGGACTGCGCCACCGGATTAAAGGGCGAGCTGAACGCTCTTAACCCATTAAAAATAAAGTAATGTTAAACTAAAACTAAGTAGCTGTCCTGAGAGCGCCCAAGTGGGTACGGACTTCGGCTCAGGGTGCTGTTGGGGACTTCATGCTGTAGGAGAGAATCTACGCGAGTATTTACTGAAATGAGTTACTCTATGACCTCGCCAGCGAGGACGGTTATTTCGTGTGGAATGGGACTAATTAGCAATCTGGTTGGCCTTGAAAGTAGCGAGTGTGTAAGGTCGTCAGGGCCACTAAGGACTTCCTTGGGCCAATGGGTCTTACGAATGCGTTGGAGGTTTTCCCTGAGGGGGACGTGGTTGGAAGCAGCCACCACGAGGGGATTGAGGTGGTAGCAAAGTCGAAGTATCCTTTCGATGCCTGTTTCAAGAATTATGCTATTGTGGGGAGTAGTGAGTCGATGTGAAGTTTTACGTTACGCAGGTTACACGGGGCCTCCATCGCGTTGCGCATGAATCTATTTTTAAGCAGCCTGTAGGCGGTTTTTGAGGGTAAGCTTCGCGTTGAGCGAATACGATGTTAGTGTAGATTATGATTGGAAACGAGCCTGCCCGAATGAACTACTTTTGTAATTGTGAAAATAGAGGGGTAGCAAATTGAAGATTGGCCTCGGGCGGCAGAAATCGACGTTACGCCACTGATGTTGTCTATTAGTTTAGATTCTCGCCTCTCGCATGGCCTAAAAGATAAATTTTGGATTTTTAAATGGGTGAGACGGTATTCCCCGGCAATGGAGGAATAATTTATTATTATTATTAAGCATATCTATTTTAGACTCGACTCTCCCATAGCCTAAAATATTATTATTATTATTATTTGTCTATTATTGTAACCATACACCTACTTAAACCAGAAAATATATACCAATATTTCTATGAAGTATTATTTAATTTCTGATTGTTACAGCATTCGGCCAAGCAGTCCTCCAGTGCCTCGGTTGTTTACTGCCATTCTTAGAATATGATATGATAGACAATCTGCCTTATTTAGTCGCGTATTGCGTAGCCGTTTTGCCCGTCACGCTGCATCAAGCGATCCTGCATCTGCTCTGCTATTATATACTGCCATTTACGATAAGTATGAACCAAAATTAATAAACAATTATTTAACTTTTTTTTACTCTCATTGACAAATTTAATACCTACTGCTACGCTTTTGATTTATTATTTTTTATTATTTAATTTTGTACTGAAATTGCAGCACGAAAGTACTCGGGACAAGAAGAAGAAAGCCAAGCTTCACAATCTGTGGCCGCAATTATCATGATGGTATTTCAACATTCCAGTAATCCAGGTGAACTTATTTTGAAGGGATTTGAATGCCCGCTTTATGTTGCTTTATGTGTAGACTGCTTGGGCACGTGAAAAGTTTGAAATTATTAATTTATTATTCATTCTTACGAGTACATTGAAGTCATATTGTCATATTCGCTTTCTCTTTTTTTGTTAATTAATTCTCAAAATTCCTTTTAGATAATGATGGGTACATTTTCAGGTTTCACGACATCACGTAGTCTAATCTCCCACACATTGTTTGAAATTCAATCAAAAACTAGGTTTCTTTTCGAAATTCATTTTAGGGTATACAGGATGACTTAAAATTATCTGCAAACTTTTCAATCAACTCCAGCTAATAATAAATACTTGTGCAAAGTATTGTGTCGTCCATGTTTTGTCTCGAGGATTGATGATGTCATGATGTTGCTGTTACTTACTACCTACTGCTACTACTACTTCTATATTGCCAAGCAGTAAAGTTAGCATTACTGTGTTTCGGTTTTCAAGAGTAAGGGTCCTGGTATCATGTGCATGTCCTATTACAGACACATGAGACTTATAAACTCATGTCTCAGGGTGACAGTTTCATGTCGCAGTGGCACTGCCTTTCAGATCTTTGGGATTTAAAGCTCTGAGTGGCACTGCAACTGTTATGGACAGACGTGAAGCGTACCAACACGTGCACGGCTTGTTCGTTCCGTCACTTGATGTTATAAAAAAATACTAGAAATATTAATTCTGCAGTACCCACAATATTATACACACTTATCAAATTATATTTACGTTGTATTCTATTTATTACAGCTCATCACTGCCAGTTACTAGAGTGCCTAATGTCAATGAAACAGACTGTAGTGAAAGACATCCTGTGTGTGATTGCGTATGGCACGTGGGGTGCACGCGTGTCAGCCGCCAAACTGCTGTTTTACTACTGGCCTCCGTTCGATGCCAAACTCTTCGACCGAAAGGGCCTTCTCTGCAAGTTTTCAAGTATGCTATAACATTTCTATTGCGTTAACTTAAACAATAAAAAAATATCAACCAAAAGCAAAGTAGAGTTTGGCCAATTGCCGAGAAAATATCCTTAGAACCTACAATATTAAATTTAATTCAATATATGTTTCTAATTAAGTTTCATATCGTCGAATTTATCAAACACAGAATGAGTAAAGAACTCTAGGTGTTGTTCTTTGTAAATAGATATTTGTTCACATTTAACGTTTAAAATATCAACCCAGGAGCAATGTGTGCGAGCTAAAAAGGATCAAACAAAACAGATTTTCTTCGACGATAAATTGAGCCTTAGTTATTGACATATTTTAATTATTGAAATAGAAATGTAGAACATTTTTTCAATGACACAGTATAAAAAGTAATATAAATAATAAGGGCTAAAGAACATTATTTATCCACTATTCCATCCATTTCATAGGTATTATATAATTAAATATGTATTTGTCCATTTTACGTAGGTACTTTATAATAATTTATAAAGAGATATCCTACGGCTCTGAGACGTGGTCACTTACTATGGGCCTCATAAAACAGCTCAAAGTCACTCAACGAGCTATGGAGCGAGCAATGCTCGGCATTTCTCTACGTGACGAAATAAGGAGATCCGTAGAAGCACGAAAGTCACCGACATAGCTCGACGGATTAGCAAGTTGAAGTGGCAGTGGGCAGGGTACATAGAACTGGTGGCCGTTGGGGCAGAAAAGTTCTTGAATGGAGACCACGAACCGGAAGGCGTTCAGTGGGACGGTCCCCTACTATATGGACGGACGGCCTGGTAAGGGCGACGGGGAACCGATCGTCTGGAAATCTGGGGGGAGGCCTTTGTTCAGCAGTGGACGTCTTCCGGCTGGCATAATGATGATGATAATAATTTAATGATATTGTTTTTGTTTTACATAATTACTGTTTCGTTGTGCTATGTAAACCCGTTATTTTAGTTACAGTGTCCTGTATTTAGGTCTGTAGGGCTAACACGACAAGACGCGACTTAGTGAGAGCGACATAAAGCGCGAGATACTGCTATTCTCCCATACAAATCTCGCATTCAATGTCGTTCTTGCGCTAGTCGCACCCTAGTTGTGCTAGCCCTTAATGCAAGTAGAAATTTCTTTCAGAAATAAGCAGAACCTTTTGTTTGTGTTTTCCTTTTTTAAATGTGATTTGTAATATTCCTGTACAATAAACGATTAATTAAATAAATAAATAAATATAAAACAACACAAAAAAACAGCGTAGTAAACATTTTAAAACAACATTTCTTTGATACTGTAGCGTCATGCATGCGGCTGTCGCGTATCCAAAAGGATCTCATTCAGTTAGAGTCACAGCCAATGACCGGCTGTGACGCTGGTTTTTAACGGACGGAAAGTTTATTCTGCAATAATTGTTTCTGTTCTACCGCTTTATTAATTATAACTTTGTGAAGTTTCTGTCAAGAACAGCCAGTTTATTTTAGTCCTTCACAATTTGTGAAGAAACATTACAAATTATTTAAGATGACTTTCTTTAAAAAACAGTTATCTACTCTATGTTTCAGATGACCTAGTCCCCTTTCTGTGCCAACGGGACATGTGTCCGAACGCGGGTACCGCGGAGGCTGCCAAAGTGTGTTACGACCATTGCATTAGTGTCACCTTCGCATCCGATAGTCCGCCGCCGCTCTACCTCTGCATTGAATGCGCTAATGAAATTCATAGGTTTGTATTTTCATTGCTATAGTATTGTTGCTGAGTTTGTACAAAACACTTTAACTGTTCCTTTACCATCTGTCACAGGGAACATCCGAACCAGCGATTCTTCGACATTCTCCATCCTCAACAACAAGTTTCCATGGTCTGTGAAAATAAGGTTGGTTAGACGACATTCTTTTTCTATCGTACTAAGTGAAGGGCCGAATAAGTCGTGTATACTAATATATCAAACATAACTGGTATACCAAACGTCTTTTCCATAAGTCCTTGTTGGGAATTTTGATTTGCAAAACTGGGGAAACTATTCTTCGATGATAATACTATTTTTGTATTAGCTAGCTAGCCATTTAGAACAAAAATGCGAGGTGGTTCGAATTATGTGTCCTGGAGTATGGCGTATATATACTTTATGTACTTTCGTTTTTGTTTTTTAAATGGTAGATGAAAACACAGCTGGGAGTTAGTGGTACAGTGTGACCCTACGACGCGTGATGGTGGAATTAAAGCAGTTTTTAAATTATTATTTTTTATATTGTGGATGAAAACATCGTCATGAGGCTCTTGGACTCTACAGTAGCAAAATTGTTGGACACCGTGTGTCTCTAGAACGCGTGACGGTTTAAGTACAGCAGTTTTGATTGAAACGTATTGCCATTTTCACATTTTTTATTTGACATGTTGTTATTATCAGCCTTAGAGGATGGAAAAAAAATAGTTTCCATAGTCTAAGATATAAGCGAGCGTTTACTTTTCAGAACTGTCGTTCAGCTGACAAAGCCGCGTACTCCATTTGTTTTTCAAACGAATGTGCCAGTTATAACGGAAATCATCCAATAAGGTAATTTTTATAATGTTAATGGCATTTAACAATACTGATTGCACAAAATGTGTATAGGATCAAATAATTTTCTACGAATCTATTCTCGAAGTAAGTGCCGGCCGTTTTCCCACTATGGATGACCGACAGAGTTTCGATCGGGGATAGACTAAGTATGTATGACAACACGGTTTGACAGTTTCGAACGGTCTCGCTTTTTTGTTTGAAGGACTTTGAGAGTAATTCCGTAGGTCATCGATAGAGGGATATCTACGGATTTCGTACTTCGAGAGTAAGGCCCCTGATGTGGCAATTCCATTTTTTTTAGTATTTTGATCAATAACAATTGGACAGTTGACTGTCACACCTTACATGAAAAAATAAACGCTTTTGTGGTCGAACGCTCTGCAAGTCAAACGCACTCGCCTCGCGTACATTTGCGAATTTTATTTATTATAGAATTTAACTATCACAACTTCACACCGTTTTTTGCTATGCCAATAGAGCGATTTCTAAAGATTTTGAATATATCTAAGATATTCTAGATAAGACTGACTGCCTGTGTAACTGCCTCCGTGGCCGAACGGTTATCATGCTGGTCTGCCACGCAGAGGTCCCGGGTTCGATTCCCAGTTCGGGGGAAATATTTGTATGGCCTACATTTATTTCTCTCGTGAGTTTGGATGTCATTTGTGATTGTCAATGTGTGTGTCCATGACACCCGCGACTCATGGTTTCTCTAGTGCGGTGCTATTAAAAAGTAAACAAAAACATAACTGTTCTTTTAAAACTATGTTACTTTTCTTTAATAGAACGTAATTTATGTAAAGTTGTATGTAATATTATATTATTGGCAATAACAAACACGCATTATTTTGCAATACAATTCGATACGAGCGTTGCGATTTACTAATTTGTGTCTGCTTAGAGCGAATTCAAAATACCTTGACTTTGGCCAATATTACGTGTCCGAAGAACAATTCTAACCCAAAATGTATATATATATAAAAGTATGTGAAAAAAATCTTAATGCAAACTATTTGTTTATATAATTACTATTTAAAATGTGACAAAGATGCCCCAGTGGGAACGCTGCGAATTACTAGCAGATTGCTCAGTTTATGGCTTATTTACATCAAAATAACGTCAATTCAATTAAATGTCTAAACGTGTGTGTGTAAGATACCTTTGCGTAATGTTAGACAAAGTTAACCAATATGACGTAATAGAATTAGACTACGGATTTAAACGCTTTTGTACGCGTAATGTTTTAGGTACTGTCAACAATGCCACGGCAACCGGCACAACAGCCGGCGTGGCGGTGACCACGTTGTGCACACGCGACTGCCGCCAGCATGGCAGATGGACAGCGACATGCAGACAAACCTCGTCGAGGCGATCATTAGGTCAGTTTTTTTAAATATTATCTATATAAAGCAGGGTTTCCTAACACTGCTTTATACCCATATCTATGTTATGTCCATGACCCCGAAGGGGTCCGTATAATGAACGTCGGGGGTCCATGGTGAGCCTACCTAACACAATACATTAATATCAAAAATTGGTATACAATATGTTGTGAATAAATAGATACGGTGCGCGTGAGCACGTCCATTATTAGAGCCTTTATCGTCAACGCCTTTGACGTTCTAATCATAGGTCTAATTCAGCATATGCAGCAGCAACCGTCACGCCAGCTGTTCATATTGTGAAAAGTTTAATCGCAAACAAAAAAACGCTTAACTTCGTATTTTATTTTTTTTACTAAAGGGTCCGTGGGTTCTTTGAAATTTTTAGAGGGGTATATGACTGAAAAAGGTTAAGAAATCCTGATATAAAGTGATTATTTCATAATACTATAAACTTTACCGTATAGTCTATGTTTCGCCTTTATAATGTATGAAGGTACGCCTTAGACAGATTATGCACTCGTCTGGCCCGGTTGATCGTAAATATTGCTAGAATAATCCAAACTAAGATTATAAATGCGAAAGTAACTGTCTATAACGTTTTCACGTCTAAACCGCTGGACCAATATTGAGGTTTTTTGTTAGAGAGATAGATGGGACTTAGGAAAAGGACATAGACTACTTTTTGTCACAACAATAAATCTTAAAGGGGTGATGATGAAAGTCTATATGGAGTACCAATAAAATTAGTACGTAAGTACTAAACCTACGCAGACGAAGTCGCGATCACAATTAGTATTTAATAGCTTAAAGGACAATTCACAGTATTCACGCACGTTTCCATTAACAGGGGTAACTAAATCTTTCATAAGGAACTGCTTTTATAGTAAATCACCTATAGAAAAGTTTTTAAGAATATGTGAATCATCAAGTCGCCCGGACAAGATGTATCTAGTATTTAAAACTACAACGTCTAGAGTTTCTTGTTCGCTCTTCTCAAGTATTACTAGTGCTTTCTGAAACAACTATAGCGTTAATAATATGATTATTTCCAGACTTCCAGTGTAATTTATTTTCATATAAAAAACAATCATTTAAAAAAAGAGGCGAATGTCGTGCATTGCGAGAAAAACGATTTATTTTTTGGCAATTCGTCGCAATACAAGCAATTAAAGTGCTGAAATTATATTTTTAGGTTAAATTAAGATAGGCATCTAAATTTCAAGTCAAATTCTTCTAAATTTTGGCGTTATTCATTCATTTGTGTTTCATTGTGCGTGTGCGTTTATTTGTTTTGATTAATTTCGCATTCCCTTTGGAATGAAACACTGGTACTACTTATACTCGTATAATTTTCGAATACGAGGTCCGACGTGGAATTAAAGCAGCAAAATCGGCTTGAAACTTTTGTGGCGTGTTTGGAGTTGATACAAGTAACGAACAGCAAGTGTTTAGTCTAACCGCGGAATAATCCAAAGTTACTCCCTGGATAGTACAACCATTGCGGAGAAAGACGAACTATCGTCGAAGCCGTCGCAGTCGTTGTGGTTGAAAAACAGGACGCGACGCGACGCTTCGACTCTGCGCCAGTGTGAGTTGAGCCTTATGCTGTCAAAATAAGTTCCTGGATTTTCTGGATTCCACTGCAAAGGAATGAATGAGCTTTCAGCAATTCGGCAAGAAGTGTATTTGATAATATAGGTACATATTTTGGTTAAATAAATAAATATTATTTTTAAAACATGTTTTATTTCAATTCTCCGGCATCAAACGGCAGTTTCATACTTTCATTTACATATTTTATAAATTAATGCTGCCCTAGTACTTAAGGGCTAAATATAAAAGATAAGCAGCAATGTGTCAGTGTACCCATATTTTCATTCACGATTATACGTCGACGAAATGATAACTATTGTCTGACATGTATTATATCAACCATTTTGTTTTACAAACAGCCTCCTAAAAGAAGCTAAACCAATCAATATGGAAGACCCGGACAGTTATTCGGAATCACTAAAACCACCGCTCAACGTAAATCTGCCCGATCCTATATCCGTCGAAGACAGACAACTCTTGGGCAGGTAACGAAATTTTATATTTCCTTACATTTATTTTTTATTGTTGTATACAGAGATGGGCAAGCGCACGATTTTTAACGTCGTGTAAAATCGAGGGCGAAAACTATTTACAACTAACTTTGTTGTAAATCTAGTTTTGTTCAAATGTAATGATATTATAACAAAATATTTATTGCTTTCTGATCTAGACGATTATAACTGCCTCCGTGACCGAACGGTTACCATGCTGGTCTGCCACGCAGAGGTTCGATTCCCGGGCCGGGAGAAATATTTGTATGGCCTGCATTTATTTCTCTCATGAGTTTGGGTGTAATTTGTGGTATTTTATGGACACACGTTCTCGCGACACAGCGTTTCCTTAGTTAATGGCTATGAATGTGTGCGTTAATTAATTAATTCGATTTGAAAATCGCATTTAAAGAAATCGATAAAAACATCATTAGATCCATTGACCTATGATTAGATCGTATGCACTGAATCGATCTTCAGAAAAATCAAACCGTGTGAACTTGTTGTGTCTTTTTCCTCTTATAAAGATCTTTACATCGACATTTGTAATAAGTATGGAATCATACTAAATTCCGTATTCGCCGTTCCGCCCACGATTTTGGGCAGAAATGGGTTAAAACCACGTGTTGGGTAAAACCCCAGTTAAAACCCGGGCGGGTTGACCAATTACAACCCACTGCCCATCTCTCTCTGGTTTACGTGTGTTACGTTTACGTGTGTACAACCAGACGACACGTTTTAAGTCACGTGCAGCTGAAATTAGCGACGCTGTTCAAGGTCTGTGTCATTGTTTTGGCATAACAATAATAGTTGTTGGAAATTTTGATTGTCTGTTTTTTCGAATGATCATAATATGGATAAGATTGTCGAGTCAAGGTCGTGGTTGCGTCTGTATGATAGAAGTAACAGTTGAAGTATGGTCATTGCTTAAGGTGGTGTACGCAGAATATTGTTTTATCTGCGTTTGAGTGTACAATTTAGTTTTCCTTTTTGTATAGGTATGGTGTTTGGTTGATGGTAGGACTGTGCACGCCCAATCCCGACACACCGGACGAAGTCCTCGGTCGTCTATTATCTGTACTCTTCCACTGGTTTCATGTCACTTCGTTCTCTTACACAGGTATTACAATCTGTTTAGTATACGCCGAGATTGACTTATGCGCACACTGACATTTAGCGGAACATTAGTGAAATCCTTAAAATAATGGAGTGTTTTTTCAAAACTCTGGCCGGTTATTATAGTTTTTTATTTTAGATCGAATTTGAAAATAGAATTACAACTGTAATTTTTTTTCTTTCATTTGTTTTATTTTCCTACAAATACAATGTTGGCGAGTGGTACGAGGTTGATTTTGTGTTTTTGTTAATTTCGTAAACTGTGGTTAAAAATAGTTTTTTACATATATATTAAAGTTTGATTCAATAAATGTTAAACTGTTACAATTTTTTAATTTTCAGTCTTTTCTGCTTTGCCACAAAATCTAAATAAAGTACTTTTAAAATATTTTTTGTAAAAAAACATTTTGTTTAATTTCGATTTTTTAAATAAAACTTTTTATACACAGTTTATATTCTCACTTCTCACTGTTCCGCTAAATATGCAGTGTTTGTGAATGTAAGCTTCTTGTTAATGTTACTAATAGTAGTTTTTATTATTCTTGAATATACGTATAAGAGCTTATGAATGTCAGTGGTAACGTTAGGTCAAGAATATTATAATATAATTAAATTAATAGTAATAATTCGTTTATTTGCTTTAAAGATGGTATAACAGAAGATGTAACAAGAGTAGTATCACTACAAACATGTTTCGCATATGCAATCAAAGTCAATTGATTACCACAACATTAAGAATGTTACAATAAAAAAAAATTGTTTCTGTAATAGTCCGTGTAGGTTCTCTGTCGTTGTAAATTCTCCTCTCAGTGAAGTCTGTCGAAACTCACCGGTCAATTTTTGAGTAAAAACGCGAGTGGTTCTCAACTTGACATTGGCGAAATCATCGATTACTTCGATGTGGCCATAACATTTAAAAGAAGAAGTTACAAATTAAATTTGTCGAGAATGATAAAAATCAATATCACATTTTACATCTTATTTCCTGTCTAATATTTCGTTTATGTCATAAAAATTATTTTCATTTAATCACTTATTTAACTTCGTTTTAAATGTTCTTCTAATGCTTGGGTTTAATAGTCTAATATCGAGTGATATTTTGTTATATATGTCAATAAATATTTTTAAACAACTTTTGCTGTATTTAGCTGTAATAGGAATATTGTCAAGTACAAGTTCTATTCGGGTTTCTGAAGACTCTAGTATTCACATCACTAGGTTTCTTAAACAAATATGTGTGGTTTCGTACAAAGATGCAAATTTTGTTTAAATGTAATGACGATAGTGGCAATTAATGTGTTTTAGGTGAAACTGCGAACATGGTCGAGAAGTTAAAATCCGAGCATGTGTGTGGTTGGCTCCGTAACATATCGGAGACACACCGCACTGTGCTTGTCTCGTGCCTGCTTCCGCACCCACCGCACTACACCCGACAGGCCGGCCATTGGGACAATCTCGCCTCCAAAACGCATCATCTCAAAGATGGACTGAATAGGTAATAATTTCCGCCCTCTTTATCATAACTAACGTAATCGACACTTTTAGCGATATTGAGTCATTAATCGTCCACGTCCACGTCCACGTCCACGTCCACGTCCACGTCCACGTCC